CACAGCGGGACAAAAATCTTGAAGGCAGCACTAATTTCAACATTTTATGTACATGAAGAGTGGGATATAAGCGATTTGTTCATTATATTTGTTTATCTTTAAATAAGTGTTTGTTTATGCATTTGTGTATAATTTCTGTTCACTAATGAAATAATTTTATTGCAAACAGTCTGTTATAATTTGCATTTAAAGCCTTAGTTTTAGGTCTATTATGCATTATTTACACTCATATTTACACATTGTAATATTACTTAAATCTATGCATGTTTATATACATAATCCTACTTAATACCGTCAAGTGATATACATTGCACATTCTTATGCCATCGCACTGCTTTTACAACGAGCCGACCTTTTCCATGAGGTACCAGGGCAGGAATACAGATGCAGCAACAACGGCTACACATGTGGCACAGAGGGCAATCGTTGATGATAGGTTTGTGATCGAGAAGTGCTCTTCTTTGTGATCCAGTTCTTCGTTTGGGTGTTTTTCAAATTCCAGGACCTCCACGTCGAAACGAAATCGTACCTTCGATGATGGTGACTCTTTCCGCCACACCAAATGACCTGAAGATTCTCTTCGCTCCAGGCTCCATTTCGGATCGTGGACTGTAAATATGAATACAAAAGTTTTTATTTTAATAATTCAAGCTTAATATTTATATAAAATCAGTAATTCGCCAATAACAAGTAAGATTGCTCTAGTCGAGAGTGCTCGAAAACGAGATACCCTGGACCCTGAAAGCAAAAGAAAGTGTGCCTAAATGTATGAATTGTCTCGCAGATCATGGCCCAGTCAGTCATCATCACGATTATCAAAGGGAATCCAGATGATTTCTGCCATTCAAGAGTCATGTGAGCTGCATGTTGGTAATCAGTGTGAATCTGAGAGAGTTGGGAGAATAGTGTTGCTCCTGATTACTCAGCTTAGTACATCTTGTTTCTTACTCTAATTTTGTTGTACCCTTTAAACAAATTTTTACCTTTCTTATTTCTTATATTTGTATCTAATTTTTTATTATTTTTAATTGTTAATTCATTATTTATTCTAATTAAAATATATTTTAACTTTATTAAAGTATATAGATTATTATTGTTATTATTATTATTATTAGAGAGAAGTTTTGTAGAAATTGCTAAGTGTGTAATTTATAACAAAAAAAGACAAACATTTTCTTAATTCTAAAATGCGTATATTCACCTGATCCAGTCATTTCACTAATTTTTAATAGAAAAAGTCTGAAACAAATACCATAAATGAAATTAATATAATCGTTCAATTGTAAACAAACAGTACGTAATTGTAATTCAATGAGTGAGCGGTGCGTTGACCTTCGATGAATTTGCGCCCATGAAAAATAAAACCGCCACCTCGAAATCTAAAACGTTCTACGTGAAGCACGACAATCTAATTAAAATTCTGGACTTGTAAATCATTTAATTAAAAACATGGATAATTTGTGACTGCCTGAATCTAAAATCTGTCTCTCTCCCCATTTTGTTTTCTTTCTCTTTAATGCGTACTTATCCATTAAATAATCATGTTATCCAATAAATGTGACTATATAGTCATACAAGTAGCTTCGTTAATACACAGAAAATATTCGCGTTGAACTCATTGTTGGCTCAACCTTTGTTACCAAGGCTTAAATTCGCACCACCATTGACTTTTGCTTAGCGAGAGGATGGATGGTTTGCCAAGGTCTAGACAGTCGTGGAATAAAGACAGATGCGATGGTATAACGAAAGCGAATTTTCGACGACTACTACTATTTAAAAAAAGAATAAAATGAATTACGTTACATAAACAAAAACGAAAGCTAATAGTTTCTCGAAATTCACGAAACATTTATAAGGACAAAATATTTTTCAGATTTTTCAGATTATTACAAGTGCATTGCATTTTGAAAACAAATTGTATGTACTTCTTAATTCAAGCTGAAAATAAACGAGAAAGAAGTGCTATCTTCGGCACACCGAAGATTTAATACCCTTGCAGACCCAACCTTTTCAAAATGCTCATAGTGCTTTGCCCGTATCTAAGAAGCACAGGGAAAATAGTTAATGCCGAGTATGGTTAAGATATCTTGAAAAACAAAACAGGTTTCCATACAACAACTTAATTTTCGACCGATCGTTCCTATGGCAGCTATATGATATAGTTGCCCGATGTGAATAAGATTTTGCATAAGTGGAGGGAGCATAGTAAAACTAATAAATGCCGAGTTTGGTCAAGATATCTTGAAAAACAAAAAAATTCCATACAACAGCATAATTTTCGACTGATCGTTCCTATGGCAGCTATATGATATAGTTGTCCGATCTTAATAGAATTTTGCATATATATGGGGAGCGTAGTAAAACTAATAAATACCGAGTTTGGTCAAGATATCTTGAAAAACATAAAAATGTTCCATACAAAAACTTAATTTTCGACCGATCGTTCCTATGGCAGCTATATGATATAGTGGTCCGATCTTAATAGGATTTTGCATATATATGGGGAGCGTAGTAAAACTAATAAATACCGAGTTTGGTCAAGATATCTTGAAAAACATAAAAATGTTCCATACAAAAACTTAATTTTCGACCGATCGTTCCTATGGCAGCTATATGATATAGTTGCCTGATCTTAATAGGATTTTGCATATATATGGGAAGCGTAGTAAAACTAATAAATACAAAGTTTAGTCAAGATAACTTTATAAACAAAAATGTTTTTCATACAAGAACCTACTTTTCGACCGATCGTTCCTATGGCAGCTATATGATATAGTGGTCCGATCCAGCTGGTTTTGACATATGAGATGCGTGCAACAGAAAGAGGGAATTCTGCAAAGTTTCATAAAGATAGCTTTAAAACTGAGAGACTAGTTCGCATAGAAACAGACAGACGGACAGACGGACAGACGGACATGGCTATATCAACTCGGCTGTTGATACTGATCAAGAATATATATACTTTATGGGGTCGGAGATGTCTCCTTCTATGCGTTACACATTTCACGACAAAATTATAATACCCTCTGCAAGGGTATAAAAATAAGCAGAGAACAGATGCGGATGCTGCATTAGCTAAAATCTCAAAGTTGTGCATGACGTAAGGCAAACAGAATTATGGAAGCGAGAGCGCTTTGTATATTTCACTGTAAACACACTCTCACGAGTGGGTCACAGTGTCACAGAATTAATTTGCATAAGGTTTGAGTTTAATAACGGAAAGTGTAGTAACAAGACCTATAAGAAGTTGAAATTGAAATTAAGAAATTTTTGTTCATCAAACCAGTACTTATATTCATACATTCATATGTACATATCTTTTTTGGTTTATACGTACATGTATGTAAAGTAAATTAAATTGACGTTAATACAATCAGCTCTGATTTTAACATAATATATATAACATAATTTGCCAACAATCCTGATAATAACTTTTAATTACTTTTATTACTTTGATGTATGTGTGTACATTTATATTGTTTATAGTATGCAGGTATGTATGCCTTTCACACACGAACACTAAACTGCCCTTTGGCATTTGATTTGTTTGTTTATTTGTTCCTTTGTTTAGCACTAAACAATGCCGGTTTTGTTGGGACTTGTTGCTGCTGTCACTTTTTAGCACAACTCGGTAACAAACCATACGAGGAACTTTGTCCAATGAACGACCACTTCATCGAAATATGTATATAAGTTTGTATGCAAGTATCCCAGCTAACGACGATTGCTCATGAGTCAAATAAAATATCTCTGGACTTTGAGCCAACTGCGTGCTTTTGTACATCCACAAGTATATATATATGTTGAAAATACATAAATATATGTGTGTATGTTCATACATATGTATTATAATACATATGCATATAGCAACTTACGCAGTAACAATGATACGGAATACCATAAATACGTACGTAGGCATGTATGAATATGCATATACTACATAACGTTCATGATCATAAATCAATCATTTTATATTTAAGCTGAATCTATTGCAGTGATTGTTTTTGTTTACTTCATATTCAATATATTTATACCGTATTCTTACATTTACAGATACATGCACATATATACAAAAATATTGTCATATTTTAAATTGGTTCATTGTTGTTGCTACTGTCACTGCTGCCGACATGATAAGATTGACAAAGAAGGAAACGGCAACGTCAGCTGGACTTTTTCTTTAATCAATGAACTCGCCTGCCCACCATCCCCTATTCATATCAGTTGATTTCACGTCGCTCGCCAAATTCCCACAACGAGCGAGCACTAGAGCTTACACAGTAAAGATTCCGAAGAGCGAATCATAAAATATTGTTATAAAAATATATTACATCAAATTGGGACTGGAGCTATCACCCACTCACGCAAAACTTAAGTACATGGAACTACAATTTAGATATAGGTATATAAATATGTACAAGTGTATGTGTATTGCAGTTCTTTGGTAAAGATCATTAGTTTGGTATTATACTGTACTCCTACTATCAAAGTAGAATAGCACTAAAGCGAAATGCGGACAAATCAGCACAAAAATTCATGGAAGGTAAACACGCGCCAGCCCCATCAATTGATAAGCGTACAAATACCTCTTTAGGTTAATTGGTGTATGTATGTATATGGTATTTTGCATTCGTATGTGTTTTGTATATGAACACACAAAAGTAGCTTTTGTTTTAAAGATTTTTTAAAAGTATGTTTTTGTATATGAGTGTATGTATGTATGTGTGCACGGCTATCACATATGTAACTTATGTATGTAGGTACATTTGAAATTTTTGATTTGGTTTTTAAATAATTGACAATATTGATTTTTTTATTCTTTTGCAGTGTACACTAAAAAAATTACAATCAAACAATGCATGCGCAGTACATACTTCCCATTCATACGAAACAAAACATTTAAATTTTTTTTTTTCAAATAACAAGAGCAAGACTAGAAAATACCCTAAGCCCCTTGCGTCAAGCTTACATTACAAAAATTCGAACCTTCTTCTATACATAAAATATATACACAAAAGCATTCATGAGTACTTTACAATTTGCGAAGAACGGGGAGTTGAAAGATTCTGCTTATATGTTCATACATACATATACTATTCGAAATAAATTTTTATGTAAGAGCTGATATAATTACCCAGATATGTTTAAAAAATATATTTCAACATCAATATTTATGATGAGATGTATACATATGGGAGAAAATATATTACATCCTAGCTTTTGTAATTTCAGAGATCGACGCGTTCATACATTTGTACATATACATGCAAATACTTTATGGCTTCGGATATACCTCTTTATTCCTGTTGAATGCCTTTGCACAAAATCATGTTATCCTTTTTATTATTATTATTAAGTGATATTTTAAGTGGCAGCCGTGTATAATGCATGTACATATATAGTATATGTGTTTATGTATGATGTGTAGAAAAGTGGCGCGACCATCAACGCGTACAACACAATAATCAAAATATATTTTTTATTTTGTAGTTGGTTCAATTGCATTTTTGATTATTTACGCGTTGTATGTATGTATGCAGTGCATTTAAATACATAAGCATGTGTGCACACATACATAGATATTTATATATATACACAGCAAGTGTGAGCTGACGTGATTTTGTTATTACCGTTTTGATTGCCAAGCCGAAAGTCGACTAAGGCCAAGCAGTGCTCATTAATTTGTCAACAGCTGATGCACGCACACCAGTCACAGCCGAAGAGCGCAAACGCTTTAATATATGTAGGTAATTGAAAAGGGGGCCGAGGGCAGTCGCCGTTAAAGTCGATCTTGGATTTGCGTATTCGGTCACGTTTACACGAACTACTCGCCGCGCCCAACTATCGAGGTCTAAGCATAGACACAGACTGTCGTTGCCTCGTTCCATTGTATCTCTAGCAGCCGGGCTAGAGCGGCCGCAGTCCCAACGCCAGCTGCGAATGAGCAAGTAAAAAGAGCGAGAGACCGAAACTGACTGTTTGGAGGCTCGGCTCCATGGCGCTTTTAACGATAGCTAGGCAACGCAGCTCAAAATTTATGTATGTATTAATGTATGAATGTAACAAGGTCTGTGCATATTTATATTCATACATATGTATATGTATATATATCAGATATATCATATGAATGTAAATAAACAGTGGTACAAGTAGTTCTGCTTAAATTGTACCCACGTCGCAAATAACAACGACAGTTTTTAAACGCTGTATTTGTTGCGTAAAAAATTAAATTTATTTTTTAAATGTAAGTAACAAGCAGAAGGAAGCATTTCCGACCCTATAAAGGACATAGGCACACTATATATAAAACTGTTTATCCTGACTGACTGACTTATTGACTGACTGATTGGTGATCAACGCCCAAATCGTACGAGCTAGGAAGCTGAAATTTTCACTGTAGTTACCTTATGTGATGAAGGTGCTCGTTAAGACGGGGTTTCGGGAAATTCTACCCGCATGTATGGAAAAATCGCGAAGAACTTTTACCATCCGATCGTCCTTAAACTCAATTTCAAAGATCTTTGTTCAAATTCATTTGACACTTTTCCAAAAATGAATTCCTCATTGGTGGAAATGGGGGTCAAAGATTTGGTGGGTGACGTTTCAAGGATCTATATGAAAAATCATTTGAGACGTGTTTCACATTTTTCGCAGAATCAAAGCATCCTCGGTAAAAAGTGCGATTCCACTCGCAACAGTGGTAAATTGGCGGCAAACGTTTGTATGAAAGTTTTTTGTTTACCGTCCGATCAGTTTCAAAATCATTTCGAATTCTTTTGAGAACATTAATTTTATAACATACGCGCCACGGGCAAGGCCGGGTTATACCCGCTAGTATATACATATATGTATATGTATATATTTATAAGTATATAAAATATATATATATATTTATATATATAAATATATATATATCTCCTTGAATAGGACGACAAGCAAGTTAATCAGCAAGTCGATCTTGAAAGCTATACATATATGAGAGACTTAAAGTTTGAAACATAGATTTTCGTATATCATAACTTAGGAATTTTTAGATTCTGTTTAGATCTTGGTTAACACCTGAGGACACCAAGTTTTATGTGCAGTCTGTCGTATAACAGATACAGATTCAGAATAATTATTTTTTTTATGCCTTCCCCCGCTCTTAACATTATTGAGAAACTTTATTTTTAGCTTTGTTTCCGGCTTAGCAATACGCTGAACCAAAAATTCTTTCTTCCTATACATACATACATACTCAAAGTCGTACTTATTAACATACGCAAACATGTACGCCAATTGCAGTTTACTTTATGATGCGTCTGTGCGATCTTTAATAAAAACAACCATTGATTGTAAGCCAATCGTTGTGAGCATTAGAGAGAATAAATCGACAGCTGCGTAAGCAAAATAAACATAAACTAAAAAAACCAAAGTGCTAAAGTCGGGAGGACCCAACTATTAAAAAATTGTGGGAGTTGATGGATACTACTCCTGGGAAACATAATTGCAAAACTAATGTTAAGATGCGTAAGGATCTAATACTGCTGTGCGCTGATTCTGACACCCAGCTCCACTCAACGAATGGCAGAGAAGATGGAACATCATGGTGAACAACGACAAGTCCACAGCCCCCATTTCCTAGGCGGAGCTGTAAGACAGCAGAAGAGACGACACCAAAATATCTCAGTATGACTCTCGATAGGAGGTTAACGTGAAAAAACCACCTATTGAAGAAAAGGAAACAGACGTACGACAAAATAAAGCCCTATTACTGGCTCATTGGCCGCAAATCCAGGTTGAGTACTCGTTCGAAGCTCCTTGTCTACAAGGTTATTATCATACCAATTTGGACTTACGGCACTCATCCATGAGGAACTGCGAGCCAAAGCTCCCGTAAACTGATTCAGACATTTGAAAACAAGGCACTGCACGTAGTTTCCAATGCACATATTTACCATGATAACGGTTCCATCCACAACGTTCTTCTTCGAAATAATTGGCGTCGTTTACGTTAGTCTCAATTCCCCCTCTTTTCGAATCTTCGTTTTTGCGTGTCGATACCCAACTGGCACGAAATATAATCGTCTCCTTCGGCTTCCACAAAAAGTCGATCAGCGTCGATTTCTTTCCTCCTTTTGTTGCCTCTTTGCCAGATATTTTTTGCTGATTTCCTTTGAGCTTCGCTCGCTTTACGTTTGTCTGTGCGTTGGTTGCGGAAAATTTCATTGTTTTTCCAAATTCTTAAAAATAGTCTCTTTTTTTGTCGTCAGACTGGCTATGATTCACACATCATAGCGGAGTTTGACACCTGAAAATTTTACTTATGCGGCCTTTTAACTCTTTTATTAGTGCTCTCTTAAACAACACCTTATCCCGGACAAGTCCTCTTAATTAAATTCACGATATCTTCTGTTACTTTTACTGTTACTTCATAAATTGAATTATTATTCACTTGATACATTTTGTTTCTGAATGATATATTTCCGTTCGTAGAGTTAACGAGTTCATACGCACTTCGCTTCAGGAGCATACATACATATGTTAACATCCCTTCGATTTTTAACGATTGCGTGGAAACGGGACAAGTTATCAATAAGCATTTAGGCGACCATATGTACATATGTACATAAATACATAGTTAGATCGACTCGACTATTGATACTGAAGGGTCGGGTTTTTCCCTGGCCTTGCCCGTGGCAAGTGTCTTGCTTCAAATTTTTGACACTACTTGGTCACCCATTTCCCGCCCGTGGAAATTTAAATAGAATGAATGAATTGAATTATAGACTAAAAGTTGGAATCATCATATTTCTCCCTATTTAATCCCATGGTGTGAAGCTCAAAGCCGAAAAAAAAGTTTCGCTCATAGAACCGGAGGCCTGCATTTTTCATTTGATTTTGAGAAAATTGAATTCATTTTCTTAATTAATTTTCACAATGATCTTTGAGAATTAGTTAGTAACCGATGGTAAACAAAAATGTTTCATACAATAATTTTCCGGCAATTTCCCAAACTTATGGTTAGCATCTCAAACAATTTTGAATCAAGTATTTATTAGTTTTTTATGTAGAAGTGGAAATGCTGGTCAAAGATTTGGTGGGTGATTGATTGAGATATGTTTCACACTTCCGCAAAATCTAACCATCTTTGATCGGAATTGCGGGTTAATGATTTTTTGGGATAACTCTTGGAGCCCTTCATAATAACTTAGTGAAAATGTGTTTTAAGTGATTTAGGAAATTCCCCCGGAATTATGGTACATTAGCGGAATGGTTTAATGGGCGAAGATTCAACTTTAAACTTCGCCCAAAAAATCTTTAATTCGCTGTGCTGGGTTTAAAAAAGTGTGAAATGTATCAAAGGAATTTAGACAAAGATCTTTGAAAATAAGATTATATAAGATTATGTGTGGTAAACAAAAAGTTTCATGAAAACATTTTTCGCGATTTTTCCACACTCGCGGCTGGAATTTCCCAAAACGCCGTCTTAGCATGCACTTCCATCACATAGTGTAAGCACAGTTAAAATTTAATCTATCTAGCTCTTACAGACAGTCACTCAATCAGGACAAACCATTTTTTATATAGAGATAGTGTTCCAACTTAATTTCCGAGCTAGTCATAAAAACTTAATGAACACTTCAAATATCTACGTTAAGTATAACTTTAGACGTTGAGAGTTCAAGATAGTAGGGCTAATTTAAATTTTGTTTTGGTTGTCTTGGATGCCGTCCTTGTCTGGTGATCAATGGTTCAACAAGCCACTACACAATTATGAGCACATGTCCAACCGCCGCCAATGAGACAGTCCTAGTACATCTTCGACAACAAAGCAGCAGAGGAGTTCGAGAGAGCCGGACGAGGTTCCCCTAATTATCCCAAAGCCCCACTGCTAAATCCCTTACGAACCTAGGATGGAACCCTAAGGAAGGAATTCTTGCTCTCTCCATGCTCGTTTTCCAGTAAGACACCCTTTGGCATTATTATAATTATCAAAATGGGTAAAAGGGATAAATCCAGCATTAGTAAAAAATAAACAAGTAAGAGGTTCTAGTCGGGAGCTCCCGACTGGGGAATACCCTGAACCCTCTTATTCTTATGTACACCAAATGCAGCTCGTTTGCTTTAGTAGTAATAAAAATAAATTTAAAAAAAAAAGTTCCCTTGGCAGGATTTGAACTCGCAACTGACCGCATTACCTGCTGCCGCCTCTACGCAACAGCCACACCAGCCAAAACAAAAAAAAAAGTCCCCCCGGCAGGGTTCGAGCTCGTAACTGACCGCGCTACTGTCCGCCGCCTCTACTCAATAGCCACACCAATAATTAAGTCTTAATGAGAAAAATGCGAATTTAAAATAGAAGCACAGAAAACAATGCAATCGCAATTGCAATGATGTTGATAGAATTCAAAGAAGACGCGCTTGAATGTGTGTGTGTACATGTATACAGAAATTCTTGGAATTTGCTGCTGCACGTGTTTGCAGGCCAAAACACATTTTCTTTCGTGTTTCTTAACCGATCCTGATGAAATTTTCAGTAGTATATCTTATTATACTATAAAATTGTTGTGTATTCTCAAAATGACAATTGCATATAAATTGTGGCTTAATTAGGTAGACAATACAAGTTATAGCTTCGTGGTGGTAGCGGGTAGGTGGGGATAGCTATAAAATGAAAGATACTTCATATATATATACATATATTATTCTAGAAGCTACATGTCAAGTTTGGTGACTCAACCCCTTATTATTTACAAAAATTGCGCAAAAACAGGATATTGATTTATATCGATTACTTGGAAACGGGACAAGTTATCGAATATCGGAAACAAACTCGATCTGCGCGGGGACTAGGAGGACCTACAGCTAAAATTTCAAGTCTCTAGCTCTTATAGGTTCTGAGATCCTTGCGTTCATACATACGGACGGACGGACGGACGGACAGACGGACATGCCTAGATCGACTCGGCTATTAATGCTGATCAATAATATATATACTTTATGGGGTCGGAGATGCTTCCTTCTGCCTGTTACATACATTTGCACAAATACAATATACCCTGTTTAGAGTATAAAAATTGAACTATAAGTCTTTATTCCCTATCGCCAACAATTACCTAACGAAATAAAAGAGAATTGTTGTAGTATCAGAATAACAATTGCCCTTTTTTTGAATAAAGTCCGAAAAAGTACGAATATGAATGTGAGCACATGCATACTTACCGCTAATAGCCGCTTGATTTTAGCAATATGACCACATGTTTTCTTCAATAAATTCTGTGTTTCTAACCGATCTTGAGCACTTTTCCTGCAGTAAAGCTTAGTGCTACATACACATAATAGACAATATTCGAAAAAATAAAGCGCCTTTAAAATTGTGGATATGGTTGCAATTCCATTAATTATTAATTTGATTGAGCAGGAGGGATAGACGGCAAAAAAATTGGAAAAATTTGAGAAAATTGGAGAGTATCTTTAAAATCCTTTGAAATATGATCACAAAACAGGATTGGGAAAACGGATCTAGTTATCACCAATTTAAAACAAACTTGATCTGCTTCCGTTAAAATTTTCAGAGATTGGCCGATTTGATGGTATCCTGGAAATATCTAAGATTTCGTTATATTGCATTACATGATTATAGCTATCTATGTACACAATGAGACACATACACACGGATATGTTTAAGCATGCTTGCTTCACATTGTAAGCTCCTTCGCTTAGCACCACACAATGTCAAATGCCTTCCAACTCCGATCTTGTGTGGAGTTAGACATCTACTCTTTGGGGGAAGCCTGTAGGGTCAGCACTGTGTAACTGACCAACGAAACTCATATCTATACTGCAACACACCTAATGCTTGGAACGTTCGGCAAACTTATCGACCACACGTTAACTATCATTAGGCTGTAGCTTAATATTAACAGCAAAGGTTTGCTGCATATGTCATGTTATTAAATACAAACGGTTTACTGAAAATGTTACTACATGTAATAGACGCTAAGACACGGTTTTGGGAAATTCTACCCACAAGTTTAATAAATAGTTTTATTGACGAAGCTTCCAGGTTCGACCGATCGACTACTAACTTATTTTCAAAGCAAAGAACTTAGTGAATATGTGGCGGGGGATTGTACGAATGCAAAGATTGGAGGTGGAAATGTTACCGGCTTAGAAAACATGTATTCAAGGGTATTTCATTTTCGACGTACTAAACATGCGCCCATTTTTATTGTTATTAAATATGGTTATAGCATAGGTTCGGTTGTTTATATGCTTGTTTATAAGCTTATATGTAGTGTGGGTGCTCGTAAAAATACTCATAACAAAAAACAAAAAGCTGAATATTTATCATCCTATGTATTAGAATGTATTTAAGAAGCGCGCTCCTTATTATAATCTGTTTATAAATTTAGAAAGAAAATATGAATTTGTGGAACTTCTTCTAGCTGTCTCCGTACGTTCATCTGTACATTTAAACCCACTAGAGACACCTACCCTCGGATTTCACGCAGCCTTAAAGCCACCAAATTTGATAGATTACTGATAATCTTTGTCAAAAATATGCAATATGCGCTCAGATATTTGGGAGCTGATATGCATTTTATTTTACTTCAGGCCTGAGAAGAGTGCGTATTCTAGCTGTGCATTATTATTTACCGTTAATTTATATCGTAGCTAGGTAGAAAACCTACGATTCAGATAACACAGAGTCAATGTGCAGTCATTAGGTCCAATGCCCCAGCTAGTACAAGTAGAGTATAAACAAAGACGAAACCCTGGCTATTAAGCAGTACGTTCTCCTATTGTGTTGTGTAAACACGCTTGTGTGGATGCTTTACGATGTGAGATTGTATGCGTCGAGATATGCATACATGTATGTATGTACATGTACAAACATACATATGTAGTTGCTTCATGTGCATGTGTAATTGTGTGCGCATAAATACATATGTACTTTCATACATACATATATTCTGAGTCTTAAAGACTCAAAATCTTCGCTTTTGTCACTTGCTCTGTTCTTGTCACTGGGTGGCGAGTGTTGTGTGATTATTTTTTTCAGTCTGCTGAAAGCACTGGACCTGAGCCCAACGAACCCAAACTGACGAAAACAAACGCTATTTACAATTAAGATTAAATTGTCTAGTAATGAGTTGGTGCAGGCATGTCTGAAGAATCAACGTCTGGCCGTTCGCACTCAGAAGATCTTTCTAGGTATTTATCTATTACCTGCTATGGTTTAAAGTGGAAGTTATATATTTAGATCGTTATGCCTTACACAGCAACAACTGTCGTTTACAAGAGGTGCTTAAGACGTGTGCTAACATTCAGTCGCTGGAGTCGCTGTATCCATGCCCTCCGCTAAGCAACGACTTTAACGACGTGTACATTTCGTCTACTACAGGGGAGAAGATGATCACTCCCAATCCATGCTCGTTCAGTGGACTTATGTCGAACAGCAGCTGCGGCAGCGAAGAGACTTTTACGGACATCGTGCTCGAGGAGGACAATAGAATCTCACTGGCCTACGAAAATTTATGTACCATTCCACGAAGACTGGCAGACAAGTTTGCTGCGCAGACCAAATTCCTCGATCTCAGCCACAACAACTTTCAGAATCTAAAATTTCTTTCTTTTTTTGAAGAACTACATACGCTTATTTTGGACCGCAATAGCAATTTAGATGTCAACACATTCCCCTACTTGCCCAACCTGAAAATTTTGTGGTAAGGATGAAATATCAGTTAGCCGAAGTACTTGTGTGCCATGTGACTATTTCTGTGTTTATACTGAAGGATAAACAACTGCGATATCTGCAATATAACCGACTGGATTCATCGCATAGAGCGTCAATGTACCTCATTAGAACAACTTTCCTGCATGGGGAATCCTGGAATCCAGACTGTGTTCAAAAACCAGGGCTCCGAGATGCCCGTAGCACATGCCCGCGAATACATATTTCAAGTGCTTCCTAATCTGAAGTTCCTGGACGGTGTGTCACGGTATACGTTCAATAATGCAGATCGCAACATGGACCACGTCAACCAAAATCGAAAGGCCGAAGCTTCGTCTTCGTGTGCCTCTATGATAGGGCAGGGGCACGAATCCACCAGTACATCTGAAAAGCCATGTAGAGGCAGAAAGGTCACGTCTCCCACGATCAGCTTTAAGGAATTTTTCCGCCTTAAGCCAGTAAAAAAAGCGCAAAGCGGAGGTGGCTCCTCTTCAAACTAAAATCTATTGAAAATATTGCTTCTCTTCAAACTAAAATCTATAGAAAATATTACCCTGGCGAACGAGTCGTGTAGATGTAGTGCCAGTAAGATAGCGTCTTAAGCTGTTATTTATAGTTCGGCTGGGTAAAATATGATTATCAGTGCCGCTTACAGGCCTTTGCGATGTCCAAGCTGGCATTCCACTGCACCCGATTACACCTACAGACATTTATAATCTATTTATATGCATATGTATTAATATGTACATACTAAGCTTTGCTTATTGTAATGGATTTAAATTGCATTGCGAAAAATACAACAAAACACTTGAAAATAATACTTCTGTTTGATTTGATTTCCATAAAAACCATAATTAGCTACATCTTTTCAGTTAATTTAAAAAATTAGACTACGTGAGAACTTGAAAATTATTTGATTGAGACGCCCAATAGAGCCTTGCACAAATCCCTTCGAAATGGCAAACGAGATTTATACATTCGATTTCACCGGTACGAACACCTACTGACCCAAGCGTATATAAGTTAAATTCGAGCCATACTGTTTTTTTTTTTGTCTAGACCTATTGTCTTATACCAAAGCAAACATGCTAAACTTGCAAAAGTATAAAAATTATTTGAAAAGGGAAGATGTGTCCACTACATCAGTGATCACAAGCACACAAATGCACAAATGCACACGGACAAAAACAAAGTTTCAACTGAGGTCAGAACAAGTAACACAATATATTGTTTATATTTAAAAACGACTATACTTGCAAGTAAGTCTTCTCTTTGCTACTTGACTCGTGTTGTTGTGCTCATTCGATTTGTGGTTTTATTTAATATTGCCGGTTTGCTTGAAATAAGCTTAAGGAATTTGCATGTGAAACAGCCAGGTCTCATATTGGCCACTAATTTGACACCAAGAATATTTTATTTCGTTATTTTTTAAAGAAGAACGTATAAATTTAACACCAAAAAATTTTATGCTGACATTCCCATGAAGAATACTACTACTACTACTCTTGTAGCGATATTAATGTCCGACTATCGTGAACTCAGAAAAAAAAAATGTATATATATATATATATATATACAGGTTCCAAGGTCCCCACTACCGTACTGTCTTTTAACCGAGTGTTAGGTAAAAAATAATGTTTTTAGAATATAAGAGCAAGACAAGCTTGCGAAATTAAAATTAAATTAAATTCCCATGTACACATATAATAAAGTAGGTCGATTTGTTAGAAATAGTATATGTTGGGAAAATAGTTAAGCTCGTTATTGCTGGGTTTACAAAGTAGAACTAATAAATACCAAACTTGGTAATTTCAATTTTTTATGATGTACAGATCTGATCCGGCCGATTCCGACATAAATACTGCCATAAATACTGATCAAGAATACTTTATATTATATTATATTTATTATACGTTTGATGAAATTTTTGGTTGGTACGGCAATATGTGATATTCATCAAGTAATGAGGTTGACAACAATGAATTTTAAATTACCAGTTTCATATCAATTTCCCTAGCTTTATTAATGCACTCTACGCTTACAAGTTGATCGAGCTGATGGCAAAAAAAAATAACAAAACTATAAAATGAAATATAGACGGTTGGCTGAACTACAACTTTTGATTCAGCTCGAATTTCACTTATATTAAAATTCATGAGCACGTATTATATGTGTGTATGGTAGGGTGGTTACTGCTTTAAAAATTATAGTTACATTTTAAAGCATATTTGGAAAAGTTTACGATTTGTTGGGTATTGCATCTATGCTAACTATATCAGCAGAAACTGCAGGTCAATTTGACTTGATCTCGAGAGTACCAAATGCAGAATCCAAGGATGTTATCCATTTGTCATTGTTATTTATCGATGAACGCTTGGCGGTGTGGTCCAAAGCCTGTTCCAGTGCCCATTGTGCCAATTTTTGAGACTCCTTACGCTTGAAGCTTACAGCTTTCGAATTAGCCAAAAAGCTGCAGCACAAAAACAAACCGTAAAGTGCTCGCAAATTGTGAGGATTCAGCTTGATAGCCTGCGAGTAATACGTGCGTGCTATTTCTATATTTTCTACTCCACTCTAAAGGTATATAGTTTTAGATAAAGGGTTAAGAGCCTCAATATGACGATGCACACTTACCATAGTGTAGCGGATGTCAGCAAGTCGCTGATGTATCAGGTGACTGTGGGGGTTGTGTAGCAGTACTTCTTCCATACAAAAGGCGGCCTTACCGTACTCACCCTCACTTAAGTACAAGTTGCAGAGCTCCTGCCATGCTTCCTGATCTGACATGAATCTAGCAACATAAATTTTACAATTAGCACTCACTTAAATATAATATATATTTCACAACTTTTTCAGATATGCGTTTAGTTCCTTTATGGCATCCAAGCGCAGCCCCCGTGCCTTCATTATAGCTATTTTCCTTTTGCGCGGCGCCGCATTTGTCTCATCCTTCTCAATTATACCATCCAAAACTTCGTTGGCGGAATCGTATTGTTCAAGCGCTTCCAATCGCATTGCTTTAAACTTCATTACTCGCAAGCTACCAGGAAACTCGGCACTGAGCTGCTTTGTGCACTTTGTAGCAATGTCGAAACGTGCGGTATCCAAAGCAGCAACAATGACTTGCTCAAGTATCAAGTGTCTTTCATTGCCTGTTTTATGGACCTTGTCCTCGAGCACGGCTACCCACAATTGTACCACCTCCTCACTGTGTCGTCCAGACTCCTCACGCCATTTTCTAAACTGATCTCGCACATCTGAAAATGTATTCCACGTAATACAAATTTTTTTTCATCAATAAGTACTAACAAAGTTTACAAATCTATTCAGATCTAGCAGGTGAGTTAAGCATTTTTATTCAACTAAAAGTAAGTTTTTCGAATGTAAGCGTTTACCTGACCAACTCATTTCTTCGTAGTTGAGCGACATTTTACTTTTAACTATTGTAATTTATTAATTGTCAATTTGTAAGATAATAGACGAGTTAGAGAAATATCGATAGGCAATAATGTTACTGTGTACACAATGTTCTTGCTGGTATTTTATCGATATGCTTATACGATGTTTTGTCGATAACTGTAACTGGCTGACGTTTATGATATTTCTATTTGAGTGTGATTTTTTTAGTTTTATTTTTCTGTAAAGCTAAGAAGATAATAAGATATGAGATCCTATATTTTTGTGTAACAAGACAGAAAATCGGAAATTGAATGCAAATGATAGCTGATTTACAAAATAATATAATAACACTTTTCATCAGCTATTCATAGCTGCACCATACCACTATTAATTATTATTATTATTATTATTATAACATGGAGATCAAATTCATATATGAAAAAGCTAAATAATTTAAGACAATAAAATTATTAATACTATTAACAAATAATTTTCCTTTTTTGTATTTGGTATATTTGAATATTTTAAAGTTTATTTTTTACACAAATTTCCTAAAATTAGTTAAGTGATCAGTCTCTTGACCTACCTATGCAGGTGCAGGTGTTTGCCAAAAGTTGACCCTTTCGGCCCAACGGGCTGCTGCAGGTAATAAGGGGTCAACATTCATTCATCAATTCAAGCCCTAAATCATAAAAAGAAGGACGCGCGTCAGACGCGTGCCAATAATGATATTTTTAAATTTTGCGCCCATGATCTCCCCATTCACACACATTTGTGTCTCTGTGTGAGTGTGTATAGCTCGAAATTCAGAAGTCCAAAAATATTGCCAAATTTGCATCGGACAGGCAGGCAGGGACCAACAGGCACACAAGCGCATAAATGCTTCTATTCATATACAAAATACGCCAGTATGCGTGAATAGCAAGTCCAAAAACTTTTAAATGCACACATGCCAACGCTTAGGTACCCTTTCGAAGAAGAACGAGCTAAAATGAAAGAATTTCGCATCGACGGGGCAAACCCTTTCATTATTTCATATTACTCGTCCCGTCAAAAGGGAAGATATGCCACCGACTTTTGAGAAAAATTGAATTTGTGGGCATTTTTGCTTGTGCGGACACATACACACACAAACAAATTGAAAGAGCATTGAGAGTAAGCCAAAGCAGTTTCCTGTAGTGGGAGCGAGATAAAAAACAGCGATGCCGTTCTATCGCACAAATCATATGGATGAGAGTAAGCAACAGCAGTTTCTTGTAGAGTGAGCGAGTAAAAAGACAGCGTTGCCGTTCCCCGACACAGGCCATATGTATTCTTACTCTCTTGCTCTGAGAGCATGCGGGCATGTCTCGAACCCGAACAAAAACGAAGGCGAGTTTGGACCAGCCGCAGAAATATCGAATGTCACCATCGAAACTAGGGTTTGTCCGGTCTATATGTTATTTGGTTAGTGTTCGAATGCAATATATCGATTGTAAGAGTTGATATTGGATAGTTCGATATATCGAATACGTATAATATCGATGTACATCGTGCATCCCTACAACCCGACAAAAAATAATAAATGCTTACACCTGTGATGCCAAGATTAAATCATTTGGGTGTGTGTTCCTTCCAAAGCATCAATGGTAGTTTATTAACAAACCCAGGGTGCTCACAAGTGGACGATTTGGACGGTTTGGAGTTAAGACAAGCTACCTGTTCTTAGAAAACGATTATAAAATAAATATTTCAAAAGCGGATCAACGCAATATAAACACAATGCCTCAACAGGAACAGGACTCACAACAAACATTTTTGGGCTTCGATTTGAGCACGCAAAAGGTAAAAAATGCATATTCAAGTTTATAGTTTTGCTCCTGTACAGTTTGTTTGCCTTTGAAGACTTCACCTCAGATCCACTTGCTTACGCGGCACACGGATCGGACCTAAAAAATGTTATTGTAAAAGGTCAAATGCTTGTTCAACTGCTAAAATTACTAACACTTCTAATCAGAAACCAATTTTTATTAATATGCATATATATTTAGAATTTGCTTATCGCTCATCTCGTACCCTCGAGCTTGACTTTTATATGACTTTTATATGTGTATAATCTTCAAGATGCCTCGGCAAACTGTTAAGTTCCTTTCAATAGCCTTTGCTACTAGCTTAAAAGGACAACAGATATACATACCTTTGTTTAAGCGTTGTATGTATTTTAACCGACAAATTCGGCGTAGTATTTTAAGCAAAAATGTAGCATAGGGCGTAGGGCCGTTCGGCAATGATTCTCTCTAATCATGACTTATTTTTGAGATAAGGTATACGAAATAAAATGTTAGCGAACTTTTAAGAGTTTATAATTTTTCAATTTTTATTTGCAAAAACGACGTTATAAAAATGTGCTGGGATAGCCAGACGAAAGCATTGACAGCTAGCTACCCTTTAGGCCGTCTTCTAACGATGGTTGATCCTGACTGCTACTGACAAATTGATTTTTTCAGCTTAAGGCCATTCTCCTTAATGCCGAACTGAAAGTTATTGCCTCGGCAGAGGTAAAATTCGACAGTGATTTACCAGAGTTTCGAACCACAGGGGGCGCCAACCCGGGCCCCAATAAGTTCGAGTAAGTCAAGTAGTTTTAATGGGATTTCAAGTTCGTTCATCTAATTTAAGAGACTTTATTAGGTACTTTGTTCAGCCTGTTATGTGGGTAAAGGCTATGGACATTGTTCTGGATCGATTGGTAATACAGGAGGTTGATCTGAGCACTGTTGTTGCCATTAGTGGCTCTGCCCAGCAGCATGGCTCCCTGTACTGGTCGAAGCACGGCATTGCGGCTCTACAGACTCTGGATGCCGAAAAGTTTCTGCATGCGCAAATCGACGATTCAGCGTTTGTAGTAAACAGAACGCCTATCTGGATGGACGCATCAACCTTGAAGCAGTGTTTCGAAATGGAAACGGCCATTGGTGGGCAGACTGAAATGGTTCAGATGACTGGTTCCAAGTGTTATGCGCGCTTCACGGGGCCACAAATACGTAAAATTTACCAGCAACGTACACACGCATACGAGGACGCGCAGAGAATCTCGTTGGTTAGCAGCTTTCTGGCTTCGCTGTTCCTTGGGAAAGTAGCGGCAATTGACTACGCCGATGGCTCAGGCATGAACTTGTTGGACATTCGGCACAAAACGTGGTCAAAAACATGCCTTAATGCTTGTGCGCCCGATCTGGAGGATCGCTTGGGTGAAGCAGTGAGTGGATTTTCTATCCTGGGAAATGTAAGCGAGTACTTTGTGCAGCGCTTTTGCTTTCCACCTACATGCAAAATCGTTGCCTGCACGGGCGATAATCCTTCTGCTCTGGCAGGAATGCTTGTCGACAAAAATTGGCTGAGTATATCCCTAGGTACCAGCGACACGCTGATGATGAGCCTGGAAGAACCGCCTAATCTAGAAGAGGGACATGTGCTATGCCATCCAACGGAATCGCATGAATATATGGGTCTTTTGTGGTAAGTATATATATATACAATAATTTAACAAAAAGTGCATTTGCCCTATGTTTGAGTGGATACATTTTGTGTTTAGTTTTTTTTTTTTAGAATATATCGAAACCAGCTTGACATTCTTTTCAGATCTCCTACTTTTGTAATTTAGTTTCAGAAACGGGTCAATGGTTCGCGAAGCGATGAACAAATCAGAGGCTGACGGCAGCTGGGAGAAGTTCAATGAGTTGCTGGATTCTACACCACGGGGTAATTTTGGCAACATGGCTCTGCACTTTAACGAAATGGAAATCATACCCAAGGCGAAAGGAACGCTTCGGTGGAACAAGGACATCCATCGGAGTTCTAATGACGCCGTAAAGGGTGTACTTAAGTGAGTGTAAGATAAGAAACATTTGTGTCCCCTATAACCTCTTGTATCTTGTCTAATAGATTTAGCTCGCCTCAAATTGAAATCCGTGCATTGGTCGAGGGTCAAATGCTACATCATCGTGCTATTGCGGAGGACATGGGCTTCCACTTTGGGAACCAGACTAAAATCCTTGCTACCGGTGGTGCCTCAGTCAACCAATCCATTCTTCAAGTTATTGCTGATGTTTTCAATGCACCAGTCTACAAACAAGTGAGTGATAACTCTTCCGTTTACTGACAGACCTTTTTTAAGTGTGTTCCTTATATGCGTTGCTTTGTTACAGAATGAGAGTGAGGCAGCGCTTCTTGGTGCCGCATATCGAGCAGCCTATGCTTTCTATCTTAATAAGAATGAGCAGAGGGAACCCGTTAACAGCTATCGCGACTACATCCTCAGCAAGACGCCAAATCACCTTAAGCTAGTTTGCGAGCCGAATAAAGATAGTGAGACCGTATACACGCCTATGTTGCAACGATACAGGGATATGGCGAGCGTTCTCGAAAGTCAATTGGCTCAATGAGCCATTGTATAATCCGTGGTAGTCATCTTTTGTAAGTCCGCGCTCCACGATTTAAATATTAAATATCACCTATGCACTTTGGAAACCACATTCCATACTCCAAATTTTATATAAAGATATATACGACTAAAGTGCAATTAACAAAATTATTCTGTGATTAACCATTTTTATATTGATTGATTGCAAAAGCATTCACAAAAATAAACTTTTACATGTTTCAAATGGATTTTATTAAAAGGAACTAGCTCCTTATTTCTTCCCTTCCTTACTTCTTGCGACCGCCGCGCTCCTTTACTTGAAGGTGTACCGTAGTACCACTTAATAGGTTGTAGAAGGCCATGGTATTGCTATCCTTAAAGAACATACCCTGAAAAAAATAGCGAAATAAATCGAAGTATATTGTGAAAGCCGAAAACAAGCACTGTTTACCTCATAGAATATTTTTTGTTTTGCAGGTGGCATGCCTGTTTCGTCCTGCAATTTGGCCTTAAGGTTTGCAATAGGGTCGGTTAGCGCCAGGGTAACGGCAATCATCTGACCATTTAGCTTCCATTCCGATTTCTCGGTGTTTGGTACCTGCACCTGTATCGTTACAGGGCTCTGCAAAAAATTTTAATATTTTCAGAACATTTTTATTGAAACAAGTAAGTTTTCTGTAGTCGAGAATGTCCGACTAGAAGTTACCCTACTTCTGTACACACGATTTTTATGAAATCTGTGCATACTCTACG